ACGGATCCACTTCTCCAGGAGCCGGGCCCTCTGTGGGGGTCGGAGTGGCCTCACAGTCACCTCCCCTGGCCCCTCTCCAATCGAGGTGGCCCCCAGGACAGAGCTAACTACTGCCCCTGCCACCTTGTTGAACTGTGTGACGGTAGCTCGGACAGACGGGCAGAGATGAGAATGTCCTGGCCGGTCTCTGTGACCCCATAGGCCTCCCAGACACTGAGAGGGGATCAGATTGAGAAACAGCTCCTGCAGGGTAGAGGTCACGGGTTAAAATGTATAGTCAAGGCCGGACAGGTTTCCAGTACCGGGGAACTGAGGCTCTTAAGAGGCCAGGGACCAGCAGGGCACAGAGCTCGAGGGGGACAGTCAAGGGGAGGAGGGAAGGAAGGGGCAGAGCAGCAGAGGAAGAGCAGCTCCAGGAGCATCGGAAGCACGGAGAGGTTAGTCAGGGGCCAGAGTGCAGGGTCAAAGGTCAAGGTCTCACCGCATCCAGCAGGGTCAGCTGTTCGGCCAAGTGGTCGGCGAGGAACACCAGGACATCCGTGGGGTCAGCAGGGGAATCGCCAGGAAGGGCCAGGGGCTTAGGAAGGCTGGGGGCCCGGGGGTCTACCCGGGCCCTGAGGTTTCGGATGAGGTCAGCACTGCCCCCCCCAACACCCTCCCGTGCTGCATACCCTGTCCGGAGCAAGAAGCTCTCAAGCCGGTCAAGTTGACCCTTGACCTCAGAGCCAAAATCCTCAGGGTGAGAGGCCAGCCAGGTTGAAAGTACGGAGATGGCTACCCTGGGAGAAGGGGAGCCAGCCAAGGGTCAGAGGTCCGGCCTCAGCTTCCTCAGGGGGGGTCGAGGTTGAGTCAGGGGCCACTCACCCTGTGGTCCTCTCTAGCTCACCAGGAGGATGCGACTCAAGGGCTTCCAGCCTGGGGATGAGGAGAGGGTCTGCCTATGCGGCTCCTTCAACCCCCCTGGTGCTGTGAGCGCTCAGAGGTCCAGGAGCCCCCTCAACCCTTGGTCCCTGACCTGTCAGTCACAAGCCCAAACAGGGCAGGCGTGGAGGTGAAGGCCCGGTGGGTGGCCAGCAAGGCTGGAGCGAAAGCCGCGTCAGCCCCCGACGTCCTGGCATCCAACAGGTGTCTGACCAGGGCCTCCAGAGTGCCAGCGCGGAGCCGTCGGGAGGAACGAGGCGGGGGCAAGGGGGCCTGGAGAACACGGAGGGTAGCTCACTCATCTCCTCAACCCTACCGCCAGATGTCTAGGAGAATCCAGACCTAGCTCATGTTTGCCAAGGTTTAGAAAGGGCTCAAATCACACAACACGGGGTCTAGAGAGACTCCAGACCTCCAACCCAGTGCTCTGCCCAAAAAGGAAGAAATAAAATCAAAGAACTGCGGGGTGAGGGGTCAGAGGTGAGGGGTCAGAGGTGAGACGTCAAAGCCATGATCTCACCAAGGGGTCAAGAGGCCGGTACTGGCGGCTGGTGACAGTAAAGGTGGCACCGTCTTCCTCCTCATCCCAGACGGATGCGGGAGCCTGGAGGAGCAGGGAAAGCAAGTCAGTTCCCACAGCGCCTCCAGGACCCGGCCATTGCTCCCCAGGCCCTGCCCCTCCCTCTGCAGCCCTCACCTGTGACGGCAGGGGACAATACCAGCGAGTACGAGGGCTAGAGGGTGCTGGTGACCCCAGGTCTACCCCCACTGGGGCTCAGACAGCCCCCCCCCCCCCAACCACCTCAGAGCTCGCTGGAATAGAGAAGGTCGTAGTGAGGCCTTCAATTGAATGCAGGAACCCTTCTTCTGGACACACCCAAATCGCCTTCCCCCCCACAGTTGAGCCCAGCTCGGCAGAAAAGCGGGGTGCAAAGGGCGGGAGCGGCGCGCCAGAAGAGGCACGAAGCCAAAGCAGAGAGACCTGAAGCAGAGAGAAGCTGAAACTTCAGGCCGTCACATGCCCCGCCCTCCCTGACAACCATAGGAGCCCAGATGTAGTCCTTCTGCATAGACTCCCTTTCCCCAGGTCTCCCGAATGCAGCTCCCTCTAAATCTCAGCACTGGGGATCCCCTGAAGGTGGCAGCTCCAATCCCAGTTACAAGAAGGGAAAGGGGAAGTCGGGATGATGGGGGGGAACGGTAGACTCAGAGTCATGTGGCCCTAGCCCCTCCCCCGACCGATCCCGAAAAACCAGCCTTGCCAGTCACCCTAACTTTACCAATGTCGGGACCCAGGAGACCAGGGCCTTTTGGGCTCCGAATCTAACTTCTGGATCCTCCTGAAGCCCCAAGTCCTGCCGCTGGTCACAACTATTAGTCCCTAAGAAGGAAGATGACCCCTCTCTACCTATCCTAGGATCATCTCACCAGGTGCCAGTACCTCTTGGCTTGCTGCCCTCAATCCAGCACCAGGGGGTGGGGGAAGGGGCGGCGAAATCTGAGGGTTCCCTCCCCAATCCTAGAGGCTGAGGAGCTGGTTACTGTGGAAACAAACCCCTCCCCGCCAAACAAAAAACCAGGAGGGAGACAGGGACCAAGACCCAACTGCCCAGAGGCAGCTCTCTGGGGCAGGCATGGGCAAAGAGGACCTGAGCTCCGCAGGCACAGCCAGCCTGCCTGGCAGCCAGATATTCCAGGCAGGAACTCGGCAGGTTCCTGCAGGCGGGTCCCGAGTCAGACCGACAGGGAGAACTCCAGAGACTCCAGCACCCGCGGCCAGACACCCAGACAGAGGTGCGGATGTGAGTGAGGCAGGAAGAGACCGAGGGACCCAGAGACACCAAAAGGAGGAGAGTCTCAGAAATGTTTAATGCCCTGCCTCCCGCCACCCGCGTCTCACCTCTTCTTCTTCCTCATCCTCTTCCTCCTGCCCCCCGCCCACGGCCCGGCCACCTGGGTCCCCACCCTCTTCGGGGTCTCGGCTCCGGAAGCTGCTCAGCACGACTCCCCCGGGGGGGTTCGTGTCCAAAAGCAGCCGCAGGGGCCGCGGGAGCATGGCCGAGTGAAGGAATCAGCGGGGTCAGGCCATGGGGGCGCCTGGGGAGAGACGGGTGGGGCGGGGGTGGAGTCAGGCGGGCGTGGGGGAGACGGGCGTGGGGGAGACGGGCAGGGCAGGGGACCTGCCTGGGTGGGAGTCCCTCAGGAAGGCTGGGGGGCGGGCGGGCACACAGGAGTGGGAACCAGGGCCCTCAGTGCCTGTTAGGGGATCCCAAGTGCGGAATGGGCAGGGTCACCCGGTGCTCTGGCTCTGACCTGCTCGGGAGGGGTGAGAGGCTGTGCGCGCGTCCCGGGCCTCTGTTCTGGTCGGTCTCTGGCCCTCGACCGAGTCCCCTCCCGGGCTTTTCCGCGCCCCCCTCCCAACCCAGCCGGGCTCCCGGGCCCTCCCGCCCTTTCCGCTTCCCCCCTCCCCGCGTCCGCCCGACAGCAGGAGCCAAAAAGGGAAGGAAGTGAGGACAGGAGCCAGGGCCGCCGACTAGGGAAGTGCTGGACGCCAGGGGCCAGGACCCAGACTCCGGGTGCCCCACTCCACTGTCCCCTGCAACCCTCATCGGGGACTCAGAAACCCATGTCTCCCAGAACAGACAGACTGGAGATCAAGATCTCGAGCCTCCGCGGGAGGACAACAACAGAATTTTAAATCCCCCTCTCTAACAAGAACAGTGCTGCAACTCCCTCGGACAGCGCCATAGTAGGGGCGCGACCCCGCTACTGCAGCCCGCTAGTGACACTGCCCACGCCAGCACGCGAGTGCAACGGAGCAAATCCGGGCCGGGTTTTCCGAGCCGCCTCTGTGCCCGCCCATCCTCGGGGCGGGGCCGGAAGCCGGTTAGAGAGGGGCCGCGGCGTTTCCGTCACGCTTGGTTCCGCTCTGGTCCGTCGCTCCCGGAGTCCGGGTCTCTCGGTGCGCCAGAGTGTGAGCAGTTCCTACGGTGGTTGTGTGGCCTCCCGGCATAGGGGGAGACCCGGTAATAATGGCAAGGGCCCCGAGGTGACCAAGAGGTTCGCTGTGCTTGTAAAGAGGGCAGAATGAGAGACCCGCATGGGAACTCCGAAGCACTTTATTGGCACACAACACTGGTGCCCCGGCGGGCGGGCAGGAGAGGACAGACATCCTTCAAGTACGCAGGAGAGGGACACTCGGGAGTCTGTGAAAGGACGAGGCCCGTCAGGCCTGGGGCCCAGAGATGGCGATGATGGTAGAACAGGCAAAGGAAACGCTGCAGTATGAGAGGAGAGCTGGAGAGGTAGGCATTAGTCTGCCATGGGAGACACACGGACCCCTCGGCTCTAGAACTGTCGCTAGGTGTTAAGATGCTATGAACCCATTGTAAATACCTGGTATTTCCGATGGTCTTAAAGGGCTCGAGAGTATTGTAGATTCTTGTGTTTAGTTCTCTCAACAGAGCCCTACCCTGGCTGACCTGGAACTCCCTATTGTACATCAGGCTGGCATGGAACTCACACAGAGATTCACCTGCCTCCGCCTCTGGAGTGCTGAGATAACGTCATGCTCCACTAGGCCTGGCTTTTTTTTTTTTTTTTTTGGTTTTTCGAGACAGGGTTTCTCTGTGTAGCTTTGCGCCTTTCCTGGAACTCGCTTTGGAGACCAGGCTGGCCTCGAACTCACAGAGATCCGCCTGGCTCTGCCTCCCGAGTGCTGGGATTAAAGGCGTGCGCCACCACCGCCCGGCCTTTTTTTTTTTTTAAACTATAGTTAAGTTCCAACAGCTGTAACCCACATAACAAAAACTCTTTGGGCTTCTTGCTCATTTTTAAGATGTATTGGAACCCAAATTTTTGAGAATCACTGCCTTAGAACTCTAACAATGCTAGATTTATCTTAAAAAAAAAAAATCCTTGAGGCATGGTGACCAATGCCCTTCCTCACTCCGGAGCCAGAGGCAGGTGGATCAAGGCCAGCCTGGTTGGCTTGGTGAGGTCCAGGCCAGCCAAGGTTACATGGAGAGACCTTGTCTAAAAACAAGAACAAAACAACAAAAATAAAAAATAGCCGGGCAGTGATGGCACACACCTTTAATCCCAGCACTTGGGAGGCAGAGGCAGGTGAATCTGAGCAAGTTCGAGGTCAGCCTGGTCTACAAAGTGAGTTCCAGGGCAGCCAGGGCTGTTACACAGAGAAACCCTGTCTCAAAAAAAAAAAACAAAAAATAAAAAATAATAAAATAAAATAAAATAAAACAGCAACCCCAGCCACTCAATGGAGGGAGTAGAAGATAACATGAAGGGACGCTGTTTAGGGGAGGAGCTAACTGGAGTCAGCTGGGCCAAAGATGAGGGTGGTCTTCCACGGAATTGAGTGCCTTTACTGTGACTTCTGCAAGAGAAGAGAGAAGTGGAGAATTTGAAGTGTTAGAGTGTTAGTTAGTTGGTTAGTCTAGAAACATTCTCATCGGGGTGGGAGCAGGATGGGGCTGGCATTTCCCACCTGCCAGATACTAAGTGGTCTACCTCCTGAGTCTTCTGGAAGAGAGGAGCCATCTTCTTAAAGGCCCTTTGGGTCACCTGAGACTAAGCACACTCTACCCCTGGGCTGTGCTCTGAGCTTTGGAATTTCTGACATTGTTTACATGTTTAAATATTCTGGATAAGTAAGGTTCAAGACTTAATGTAGGTTGCACAGTGGCCTTCCCGGCCATTGTTCTTTCATACTTTACGATAGTGTTTTCCTCCACAACAGCCCTTAGCCATCATCCGCCCTTACACTTTGATGGTGCCCCACTTTACTCTGCAGTAAATTCTGACTGTCGTCTGCACTTTAAAACCTGTGCTTGTGAGACAGTTCAGCAGGCAGCGTCAGCTGCAGGTGCTTGAGTTTGATCTGGGCTCCCACAAGGTTGCAGGGGAAAACTTGTTCCCAAGAGCTGTCCTCTGACATCCAGCCACATGTGATAACACACCTCACATTCATACACACACAGAACAAAATCTTTAGAAAGGAAGGAAGGTAGACTAGTGGGGTGGCTCAGGGGTAAAGGTTGCCCTTCGGGTCTGATCCCCAAGACCCACGCGGTAGAAGGAGAAAACAACTCCCCCAAGGTATTCCTCGACCTCCACATGTGTGCCATGGTATGCACATACCCACACACACAAATAAATGCAATTTCTAAAAAGTACAGAAGGCAGGTTCATTAACTGAGTGTGGTGACACTCCTGTAATCCTACCACTTGGAAGGTGGAGGCAGAAGAATGAAGCGTTTAAGATTATCCTCTCCAGACAGTGGTGGCGCACGCCTTTAATCCCAGCACTCGGGAGGCAGAGGCAGGCGGATCTCTGTGAGTTCGAGGCCAGCCTGGTCTACAAAGTGAGTTCCAGGACAGCTAGAGCTGTTACACAGAGAAACCTTGTCTCAAAAAATCAAAAACAAACAAACAAATAAATAAATAAACAAAATCATCTTCAACTATGCATCAAGTTTGAGGCCAGCTTGGGCTACATGAGACCTGTCTCAACAAAAATGTAATAATTAAATATATTATTAAATTATTTTGCCTGTTTCATTTTACTCCTCTCCACATGAGCCAAGGTTTCTATGTAGCAGCCTAGAACTCAAGATTCTGCCTCAGTCTCTGAAGTGCCCCGACACCTGCCTTTTTTTTTTTTTTAAATGTAGCTACTAATTATTTCAGTTTAAGTGTGTGACTTACATCTCTAACAGACTCAACTGCACTCAAGTAAACAAAACCAGATTGGAAAGTCTGAGGTGAGCTATAGTTAGGAGAAGGATTTAGACGAGGTCTGTGTGAAATCGACACCTGTGGCTGCCTGCCACGCCAGCAGCCAGCGTCCCACCATGCCAAAACACGGCACAAGGAGGGAAAGACCCAGAACCAGGCGCTGTTACCTTTGAGTCCAGGCTGGCAGCTGTAACCTTCGCCTTTGAGTCTTCATGAATGGTCAGGTAGGCAGCTATGGAAAAGGCGGAAGGGGAGGGATGTGAGTGGCAGGGGAAGGAAGGGGTGTGTGAGACTTCACGGGGTAGGCGGGAAATGTCCTTTGGAGCGGGCTCACACTTACCCATCCAGCCTAGTGCTTTGATGAGTCCCAGAAGGAGAAAAGCGGACAGGAACAGGCCTATGCTGTCCTCGATTGAGGGCCCGGAGAGGCCTGGCAAGGGAAGCAGTACCAATGAGCTCGGTGTTTCCCGAGGTCCCACCCTGGTTCAGAGGTTCTCCGGGTTACCTGCCACCTCCAGGGTGACTTCAGCACTGCGCCCCGATGCCGGCAGGCTGGGGTGGTGGACCCGACAGGCATAGCGTACTCCATGCTGCTTGGCAGTGACTGGGGGCAGCCGCAGGTGCCCAGCCTGGCTGACAGAGCCATCGGAATGGTGGCGGACAGTGGAGAGCCACGTCTCCCCCTCAGCCTTTCTAGAACCGCCTTCTGGGCCACCTCTGAGCTCCCACTCCACCTTCAGGCCCGCCGCAGGGTAGAAGTGGGACACGAGGCAGAGCAGTTCCGGGGGTGTCTCTCCCGGGGCAACCCACACAAGGGGTGCTGGTGTTAGAGACACTTTGGGGGGCTCTGAAGAAAGAATAAGAAAGGAAAGTGAGAGATTCCACTTCCTCCCCCCATCTGGCTTCTGGCTTCCCTTGTACTAGAGGGGTGCTCTGATGGTGGGAATCCCCATGTTAAAGCCGTCAGATTCCCAGGACCCCCCATCTATCTTCATTCACCACCCATACACGCTCATCTCTATCATCCCCTCCCCCTGCCACGGCATGCCCACTCACTGTGCACCGTCAGCTGCAGAGAGACCTGTCCTTGCAGATAGGGCAGGTGTACAGTAGCCAGGTAGACGCCCTCCTGAAAAGGTTTCACAGCTGGCAGCCAGAAGGTCCCATTCCCAGTCCACGGGCCCCAGGGCTCATTGTCATCCCAAGCAGCAAATGCCACAGCCTTTTCTTGGGCTGGTGGCGTTTCCCCAACCAGCCCAGGAGTCGCAGCCAGCAGCAGGTGACCCTTGCCCTGGTGCTGGCGACGCCACTCCAGCCCAAAGGGAGGGGGACCTGCGGCCGGAGACAGAGCATCTTCCAGAGTGGGGGGCATGTAGGCAAAGCTCAGGTCCAGCACTGCATCTTTTCCCAGATGGATCCGAGGTTTGGGGCTGTGGGTGAGGACAGTCAGCACCACTGGGCATTGGGAGAAAGGGGAGAGAGGGACAGTAGAAAAGCGGAGCTGTGGGCCTCCGCCAAGCTCAGTTTACCCACCCTTCAGAGACACCTCCATTTGTAATACGACCTCCAAGCCCTCCCTTCATTCCAGTTCTAAGCCAATGTAGCTAACAATGTGCAGGAAGAATAAAGGTAAATCAAGGTGATGTGTGTATGTGGGGCGGGGGTTCAACCCTAGGAAATCTGTGCTGAACACACTGCCCACTACAGTTCTCAAATTCTGGAGATGTCCAAGATCTAAGGGCACATTTAATTTTTTTTATTTTTTATGTGTGTGCCTGCATGTATGTAAGTGTACCATGTGTGTGCAGTACCCAAGGAGGTCAGAAGAGGGCACCGGATCCCCTGGAATTAGTGTTACAGGTGGCTGTGAGCCATCAAACAGGCACTAGGACCACAACCCTAGCAGTCAGTGCTATTAACTGCTGGGCCATCTCTACACACACAAACACCCCTTTCATTGTATTTTATTTTTTTTGAGACAAGACTCACTCTGGCCCAGGCTATATTGAAACTCACTATGGAGGGCTAAGCTAGTCTGGAACTCAATTGATTCTCTTACTTTAGCCTCCCAAGTTCTTTCTTTCCTTTTTTGTTTTTGTTTTTTGGTTGGTTGGTTGGTTTTTGTGATCGTGTGTGTGTGTGTGTGTGTGTGTGTGTGTGTGTGTGTGTGCGCGCGTGTGTGTGTTGGGAGGTGGTGGGGAGTGGCTAATAGGTGCAGGCTAATGACTGAACCTAAGGCCTCATACATGCCAGGCAAGTACTCGGCCACTGAGCTCTCTTATTTGAAGCGGTCTCATGTAGCCCATGCTGTCACGGGACTCTGGGCCCACCTGTCCCTGCCTCTCAAGTGCTAGGATTATAGACATGCACCTCCAACGCTGATGATCAGACTCACACACAGTAGGCAATGGGTCTTCCACTGACCCACACCCCAGCCCCTCCTGTCTCCAAACCAGAAATGGAAGCAGGGCACAGTGGCTCACACTGGTATCCCTAGCACACGGGAGACTCGGGCAGGAGGATTGCCATGAGCTCCAGACAAGCCTGGGCTACTATATGAGACCCAATCTCAAAAACAAATAAAAATGAATGAAGAGGTGGTCGTGATAAGAGCAGTAGCTGCCTACTGAGGCGTGGCGAAGGCATGTCACCTGGCACCTCCAGCTGACCAGATCTGTTCCACTCCTGGATCAACAAACAGCTCCACAGGAGGCTCTCAGTACACGGGGCGCAGAAGTCTGCACAGCGGAGCTTCCTGCTGCTAGGAAATCCCTCCCACTAAGCGGCCCCAGCCCGTTGGTGGCTTGTTTTGTTTTTTTAAAGATTTATTTATTTTTATGTGGTGTTTTGCCTGCATGTATGTCTGTGTGAGGATGTCAAATCCTCTGGAACTGGATTTACAGACAGGTATGAGCTGCCATGTGGGTGCTGGGAATTGAACATGGGTCCTCTGGAAGAGCAGCCAGTGCTCTTAACCACAGAGCCATCTCTCCAGGCCCCATTTTCATGTTTCTAATCGAGGAGAAGTGACCTGGAAGTGATTTGATGAGGAAGACAGAACACACACTTGATTCTACCCCAGGAGTCTGTAAGAAGCAGACTCCCTATCTGGGCAGCCCCAAGAATCAACCCAGGGCCCAGAGCTCAGTTAAGATACATACAAGGGGCTACAGAGATGACTTAGAGTTTAAGGCCACATACTGCTCTTCTGAGGTTCCCAGCACCCATGTCACATGGCTCAACCACCTGTAATACTGTAATACCTGTAATACAGCTTCAGAGGATCCAACACCCTCTTCTGAACTCCCTGGGTGCCTGCACTCCACACCCATACACAGACACACACACAAATAAAAATCAACTTTGAAAACAACTTGGGGTTGGGGATTTAGCTCAGTGGTAGAGCGCTTGCCTAGCAAGTGCAAGGCCCTGGGTTCAGTCCCCAGCTCCGGGAAAAAAAAGAAAGAAAGAAAGAGGGAGGGAGGGAGAAAGAGAGAGACAGAGAGAGAGAAAGAAAGGAAGAGAAAGAAAGAAAAAATAACTAATACAACCACTGAGCCACACACCCCAGCCATGCAAAAGTCACACAGGATTATCTGTTGACAAGTCTGAGAACCACACTTAGTCTATATCTGATCACCTCTGTCACTTAGAGTACACAGGGCCACCCTACCCCGGAGAAGGAACTAGCTTTCAGTATGTTATTTACTAGTTTTGAAAAAGAGTCTTGCTGTGTTGCACAGGCTAGACCAGGGAAAAAGAGTCTTGCTGTGTTGCACAGGCTAGACCAGGACTCCCTCTGCAGCCCAGGGTAGCTTCGCACTCCTGATAAACCTGCCTAAGCTTCCCAGGTGCTAGGGTTACAGACACATGCCACCACATTTTGCCAAGGCTTTGGTCTATATAAACTTCCAATAACATCTATCTGGAGCTTGATCTGGGAACCTCTGGGTCCTAACTTTTTCTTGGTACTAATAAACATTTATTGGATCAATAAGTAAATTAACACGGTGCCTTGCTTCACTGTCACAAAGGAAAAGCTGGGAGAATAGTTCCTGCTTTTCACAGCTGGAAAAAAAATAGACACATAGAGGAAAGGCTGTGGCAGCCAGCACCATCTCTGGTGAAGACCAGCAGGAGGAGGGCTGTTTCTCTGGAGAGAGCTACTGTACCCACAGCAGGCCTGCACAGAGCAGAGCTAAGAAGGGAGGTGCCAGCCGGGCTGAGGGTTTCAGGCTGTCCCCTTGTCCTGTGGAAGTTCTCAAGTGATGGCGCAGGGAAGGACGCAGGAGTTTGGTGGGAGTATTTGCATGAGAACACCAGAAATGGAAAAGTCAAGGAGTCTCTCTACCTGTTGCCTGGTGTCCAGAGACATTCAAGTCAGATCTACCCCATTTCAACATATGCCCATGGAGTGACCCGGAGTCCAGCCTAGCAAAGTGCACTGCACTATTCAGGAGTGGCCTTGCAGAAGAATCCTCCATCTTTGCCGCGTCCCTTCTGCCCACTAGAGGCCACTATTAACAGACAACAGGCCCTGGCCTCGGGCCTGAGGAAGAGCTTCCTGGCCTGGCTGATTGTCGCTAGGCTAGAGTAGGCTTAGGTGACACTCAAAGTCTGAGTTTTGAAACTGGCTCAACTGTACCAAGTAGGGTGCCTAGCGATTACTGACTTTGGAGGAGTGCAGAAAAAAATTCGGGTTTTAGGACTCACTACTTGTCACTTCACAAGTTTCTCAAACTCCGGTATCTGGAAACCACCATGACTTCCCCAACTTGTCTACAAAGCCCCGCCCCAAAACCAGAGTTGATTTCAGTTTTACTCTTGGCCTACAAAGACAGGTGAAGACAAATTCTAACCAACTGCCTCGCTTAACAAAAAATATTCTGAACCCCAATTGGAGAAATGACTCATTCAGATCTACTCCACCAGTGGCCACTGGCCGACCTTTAAAAACTACCCCATCCATCTCGGGCACCTCTCCGTGGCTACCTGTTGCCATGGTGATGAAGTCGGGCTCCCGCTGAGGCTCTGGCTGTGGTCGCAGCAGGACAGAAAGGCTGAAGACGGTGCTGGACACGCTGACCAGCAGCCAATCCCCGTCCAGGGCCCGCGGGCAACTCTGCTGCGGGATCAGACCTCTAGCCCAATTCGCCGAGGCGGGGAACGGGATGAAGCGGCTCATCTCGCAGTGTGGTGCGGGGGCGCCCTCGGGATACCGCCTGAAGGCAGCCAGGAGCATTCCGGCCGGGTCTGCGGGACCGAAAGGGTGCAACTGTAGCCCCGGCTGACCGGAATGTACATAGTAACAAAGTAGTGAGAGACTTAGAGAGAACCCAGACTTATTTACAAAGAGGGAAACTGAGGCCCAAGGGCCCCACGTGAGCTAAAAAGGAGGCGATAGATGCAGTGAGTCCCGAAGACTCACCGTCCACCTTGAAGTACAGCTTAGGGTCAAGATCTGGCCGGGGCGGTGGACCCCTGGGTCCCTGGCGCAGCAGCAACGCGGCAGGTCTCTTGGCCAGGCCACCTGAATCTTCCACGAACCAGCACTCAACCGCGGCCGGTCCAGCCGAGACGGTGGTCGCCAGGCCTGGGGGAGAGGGGCTCCAGTGACCGGGCGGCCGCGATGTCCAGCGACCTGCCCCGCCCCTTCGGTCTCGAGATGGGACCACCTCCCTCTCCGTCCCAGTGCGCCCTTTCCTAAACAAGAAACGGGGTTCGCTCACCCAAAGCCACAGCGATAAGCAGGGGCAGAGGCTCCATGGCGCTGCGATCTCTACTCTAGGTCTCTTCCCCTTTCACTTTCATTTCCTCCGAAGGCCAGCGTGAAGGACCGGAAATTCTCGTTCAGATCAAGTGAGGGTTTGACGGCACGCTGGAGGCACGCAGCACCCGGCCTGCAGGTCTGCCCCTCCGCGCCCTGCACACGCCCCTGGATCACCCAGAAGCGCCGACTTTGAGCCCAGCAGCGACCTAGGCTCCGCCCTCCCGCGGCGTCCTCCCGGCGACACCTCCCTTAGGACCATCATACTCCGACCTCCCCGGCCCTGCCAGGTCCCAGCACACACAGAGGGGTTGTCGGGAAGCCAAGTGAAGTGACCAATAAATATTTTAATCACCGTTAAAAATTAAAACCTACACTACGCGACTCACTCCTTGTCTCCACCCACTTTCATGAAACCCAGTTGGGGATCCCCCTGGGAAGTGGGACAGTACAGAAATAAGGGGCGTATCCTTCAGGCGGGGGAAGGACTCCAGAGGCCTCGTCCCACAACACAAACACAGACAGGCACAAACTAGCACAACCTGACCGCTGACCCTGTGGCTCCGGGATGCTCAAAAGGCCCCCTTCCCACTCCCTCACGGTGCGGCCCGCTCCGTAAAGGTGGGGCACTGGTGTACCCAAGAGAGAAGGAAAAAGGCTTAGTTTCGGAGATGCCGAGGGAGGAAGGGGCTGAGGAATGGGACCGGCTGGCGATGGTGCACCCTACGCCCTCTAGAATATATACAAGTCCACAGAGGTAAGGGAAGACAGCGCAGCGGGAAACACCCCGGGGCCACTTGCCCTTAGATAAGCCCCCAACCGCCTGCCCTTCAGTGTGCTGCTCCGCCCCCGCCGAAATCCATCTCCACCTTGTGCACGCCGGGTGGGGACCAGACACGCCTGTGGGACGGGGGTGTGGCCGAATTCGCCTCATCGCCACTGCCCCCACCCCCTCCGGAAGACTCCCTCTTAGGTTGCAAGGCTGGCCCAATAGGAGCCCCGGGTCCGGGTCCGGGTCCCGGTCCCGGTCCGGCCCCGCCTCCGCCCATCCGGTGCCGGCGCTCACAGTGTCCCCGGTGCCGCATGAAGCTGTCCCGCCACATGAACTTCTTGGCACAGACACTGCACTCATAGGGCTTGAGGCCCGTGTGCGTCTTCATGTGCTCCGTCAGGTGGTGCTTCATCTTGAACTTCTTGTTGCACACAGGGCAGTCAAAGGGCCGCAGGTTGAGGTGCATGTTCACGTGCCGGTCCCGCATACTCTTATGCGAGAAAGCCTTCCCACAGTGGCACAAAAAGATCTTATTCCCGTCGCTGCTGCCCGTCCCTCCAGGGGCCCCACCAGAGCCACTGGGCATGCCTAGCCCCACCGCAGAGGCGCCCCCCAGGGTCACCGCCCCGTGTTCTACCGTGTTCCCTGGTGGCTGGCCTGGAGCCTGTGAAGAGGAGGATGGGAAAACCAAGATCTGGTTCCCCGGCACGTCCAAGGGAAGGAGGGGTCGTGGAGGGTGGGTGGGGGTATAGGAGGAAGGGGTGGGTCCTCCTGGGTCATCAAGCCCTGCCCCGGGCCCCCCACCCTCATAGGGGCCAAAGTCATTGGAGGACTCACAGAAGTTGACCTGCTCCTCCCCTTTGTCTGGAGGCTCGGTCAAGGTCCGCACATCACTGATACTGAGAGTAGCCTCGGGCTCTCCCCCTGCAGGGACCCCTGAGCCACCACCCCCCAGTTCTTCGTCCTCATCATCCTCACAAGTCAACACCAGATCTTCCTCTTCTTCCTCGTCCTCTAGCTCTGGGTCTTGGTGAACCAGAGACGCTGGTGCAGGGCAGTTTCTACCGCGCTTCACATACACCCAGTGTTTCTGTGGCACAGCACCGGCGGGCATGCAGCTCGGCCTCCGGAGCCCAGCCCCAGGGGCCACCGCCCCTCTCCCGTCCCCACCATCATCACACAGCTCATCTGCCTCCAGCAGCAACTTTCCAGAGGTGGCACCCGCACTGCCAACCACAGGGACCGGGAACACAGGGCCACCATCTCGGCGGTTCCCACAGCCGACGGCTGAAGCTACAAATGCATCTTGGGAGGAAGAGGAGAAATCAGTGGACTCCCGGGGGCTGAAGTAGTTGCTACTGCTGGGAGACTGGTTCTCACTGGCCCGACTGGAAGTGTGGGAGCGCACAGAACCCCCCGTGGCAGGGGCTACAGTGCCCCCACTCCCCGAGGGGACACTGGCACCAGGGACAGAGACAGAGGGGGCCGCAGCGGTAGTGACAGTGGTGGTGGCGGCTGAGGATCTGCCCTCCCGGAGGAGTTCGGTGCACTTATCCACAATGTGCCACATCTGGAGGACTGAGCCCACTGTGAGGAAGTTGACAATGTCAGCAGCGGCCATGCTGAGGCGGCCTGTGTAAGCTGAGGCCAGCACAGTTTCAAAAGCACCTGGGTCCATGACGCTTGGCAGTGAGATGGAGGTCATGCCTTTGAGTAGGACCTGGTCGTGGAAGTAAGGGGAGGAGGCAGCCAGGACAGCCCGGTGAGCGCGGAACTCCCGTCCCTGCACCCGGATGGACACATCGCAGAGCTGCCCCTGGAGCCGCTGCTGGTTGAGGGACTCCAGGAGGGCGCTGGTCACTTCAGGGAAGGACACGTGTACCACCGCCGCTGCTGGCAGAGGCAGTGGCGGGGGAGCCAGGGAGAGAGGCAGTGGGAGAGCCGCCCCACTGGGTGACAGAGGAGATGGCTCCATGTCGTGGAAGGAGGGGAGACCCCCCCAGCCACAGGAACACAGGACAGAGGAGGGCGGCCGGGGGGGTTTCTGGGGGGGAAAAAGAGAAGAATGGTAGGATTTTGGGAAGTCACAGCCCACCACAGCATAAAAACATTGTGTCGGCCTTAATAATTCCCCATAACAACTGGGACAGGTATACCTTTCAACCCCATGGGACAGATGGAGCAACCGAGGCTCAGAAGGAGTAAGTCGGTCATCCAAGTACAGCCATCCAGCGACATCAGAGGGCAGCTAGGGAAGGCAAGTGTTCCAAGTTCAGGGCGCTTTCCTAGGTTAGGGACAAGGGGCTCTCGGGGAACCGTGTCCGCCTACTCCGCCGCTCTCAAACGCGCACCTCCTGGGCATCTTGTCTTCCCCGGGGCGGAGGGGTGTCCCCGCAACTCCCGGGCCCCTCCCCCTGCCGCCCCCAGCTAAGCCCGGGCTCCGCCCCCTAGGTCCCCGACCCCGCCTCGCGCCGGCCCCCGCCCCCCGAACCCCGCCCCCCACCCCGCCCCAAGGGCGCCCCGGGGCCATCGCCCGGCCCGAGGGCCCCCCCCGGCCCCGCGTCCCCGCTTACCTGGCCGCGCGCCCCCGGCCCCCCCCTCACTCGGCGACCAGAGCCGCAGCCCCAGCCCCTCCCGCCGCCATCTTGTGCCGACTCCCTCCGCCCTCCGCCTCCGCTCCGCCTCCCGGACCTGCGACCTTAAAGGCGCAGGCCAGCACCCCTCCCGTGCCGCTGGGCAGAACTCGACCACACCGACACTTCTCCTTTAAAGGGCCAGGGCGTCACTCCACCTTAAAGGTACCAGGTCCCCTCCGCCGCCGAGGACCCAGGACTTGATTGGGTCGAAGCCTTCGTCCCCTTTAATCCTGCAAGCCTGCCTTTCCCACCGACGACCAGTACCGGCTTCCGCTCCTCAGGCTCCACCCCGAGCTGCGGACACTCGCTGGCTCACGGGTTCCAACAGCCCTCTTCCCAGCAAATGACAGGACCCCTGAAGCCCCGCCTCCTTCTGGATTGGCCACATAACCTTGAGTCAGCCCCTGATTGGCCTTCTCACTCAACCGCTCCAAAGTGAGAAAGTAAGGCGGCTTAGGACGGCTTCTGAAGAGCCCGAGGGAAGGCTCCAGGAGGGGTGATGAGGAGGGCCAGGCTAGCAAGGGCAGACTCGGGGCTAACCCTGAACCAGGTGGCCGCTGTCACAGCAGAAAGACAAGGTAAAGACAAGAATACAGTAAGAAAAGAAATTCATTGTTTATTAATGTGTCTGTGTAAAACTTAAAACATCTGATTTTCTGTCAAAACAAACACCAAAAGGGGAGGAGCTCAGCCCATTGCTCAGGCATCCCTCACATTCTGGAGGCAGGGAGAGCGGGAGGCTGCTAATCCGAGTCTGACAGCACGATGATCTCTTCGGGATCACACTGTGTGGCCACACTCATCTGCAGAGAAGTCAGAGGAGAAGCAGGGGGAGTCAGAGAGATTGAAACTAGCAAGGTCGAGCCAGCGTGGTGGCACATGGGAAGCAGAGGCAGGCTGATCTCTGAGTTTGGGGCTAGCCTGGTCTACATAGAGTTCCAGGACTACATAGAGAGACCCTGTCTCAAAACAACCAGAACTAGGACAGATGGCTGAAAAGATGTGACTCAGCCACTAAGAGCACTGGCTGCCTTGCAGAGGACCTGGGTTTGGTTCCCAGACTCACATGGCCGCTCACTGCCATATCTCTAACTCCAGTTCTTGAGGATCAGATGCCCCCTTCTGGCCTCCATGAGCACCAGGCACAAATGTGGTACACAGACATACATGCAGACAAAACACGTTTTCACATAAAATGAATGAGTTTATTAGATTTTATTATTTATCAATCATGTATACAGTGTTCTACCTGACTGCAGGCCAGAGGAGGGCACCAGATCTCATCACAGATGGAGTGAGCCACCATGTGGTTGCTGGGAATTGAACTCAGGACCTCTGGAAGGGCAGCCAGTGCCCTTAACCACTGAGCCATCTCTCCAGCCCTTGTTCTGTTTTTTGTTTTTATTTATTTATTTATTTATTTATTTATTTATTTATTTTGGTTTTTCGAGACAGGGTTTCTCTGTGTAGCTTTGCGCCTGTCCTGGAACTCACTTGGTAGCCCAGGCTGGCCTCGAACTCACAGAGATCCGCCTGGCTCTGCCTCCCGAGTGCTGGGATTAAAGGCGTGCGCCACCACCGCCCGGCTTGTTTTTTGTTTTTTTAAGACAGGGGTCTAATTAGGTAACCTTGACTGACCTGGAACTCACTGTGTAGACAAGACAGTTGGCCCTGAAGTTATAGAAATCTGCCTGCCTCTGCCTCCTGAGTGGTGGGGGTTAAAGGCATAAGCCACAATGCTGTGCAATAAACCTAAACACACACACACACCTAGGGTGGGGAAAACAGAGATGGGACAGGTGCAGTATCCCCACAGGGAAACACTTACCTTATAAATACAAGGCCGGGGAGACTGAGATTGGGGAGTTTGGGATATCAGGGATGGAGAAGGGCTGCAGAGGGAGCTGGTCACCAGGCCATGGCTGGGAGAGTCCACCCTTGTGGAGGAATCAGCAACAGGAGCCATGGAGGTCAAGGGGGAAGACCGAGTAGGCGGGGTCCATACCTTCTTCCCATTTCCCTGCTGAGCCGCCTGCTTCTCTGTGTAGCTAAGGGCAGAAGGGAATGAATGGGGGAAGGCCCGAGGCTGCCGAGTGCCCGGTATCTCCCAGCAGACCCTGGGGATCTCTGCCTGCTGTTACCTGTTTTCTAATGGTCCAGACCCCAGATGCTTCTTTTCCTTCCTTGATCTCTTGTACGGGGGACTGGAATCTCGCCAAGTGTGGCAAGAGACACGCCCATTGAAGGATGTAGAGGTAACCACATCAGCCCCATTTTCCAAGATGGTGGGGAGGGAATCTTCTGACTGTTTCCTGGAAGAGGAAATGTCCCTTTCCTCGGGGGATGGGGTGGTACCCTCGGGCAAGGCTTCCATCTCTAGCTCAAAGAGCTGGGACCGAGGGCTCTCTTCTTCCAGGAGCGGCTCTTGGAGCTGTTCCCCGCTGCTCTCAGCATCTATGCTGGGAGGGTCTGGGGGTTCTGCCAGCGGTGATGCTGGTGTCCCTGTCAGTCCTTTGTCTTGCTGCTCCCCTGGAGACCCTTTTATAGGTTCTGAGTTCCTCCTAGTGGGGATGTGTGATGGGGACTCGGGGCTTTTCTCTCCTTCATTATCTGGAAAAGAAAAGAGGGGAGGGATGGCATGAGGAAGAGGCAGAGGGGGCTGTGCAAAGGAGCTAGGAGGAAGAGGAGGGAGGAGAGGCCCAGCAGAACTGACCCAGAGGGTTGTTCTGCTTACGTATGTACCTCCTTCTTCTTCCTCCTCTTCTTCATCACCCCCCTGATCTTCCTGCAACTGTTCTAGATCCTCATCTTCATCTTCAGTGACCTCTTCCTCATCCTCTTCTTCCTCTTCCTCCTCCTCCTCCTCCTCACTTTCTTCTTCTTCATCATCATCATCATCAGACTCAGCTTTAGAGGTAGTAGGGCACTCCTGGGAGGCCGTTCCACTAGGACCCTGGGGGACAAAGGAGTCTCTCTTAAAGAATCCCTTTCCCCAGAGTTTTTGGTAGTACTAGGACTCGAACCTGGGACCTCAGGAATGCTAGGAGCGCAGGCCACAAATGGGCTCCACCCCTGAGGACTTGGTTCTTTCGCTGCTTCCACACACTGCTTCACACACACCCCACACCCCCCTCCCCCCCCGCCCCCCGAAGCCCTGGTGGCCAGTGCAGGGCAAAGACAAGACCTCTGTGACAGGTGCTAACCCTGCCGTACCTCACCAGAATCCAAGGAGACTTTAGGGGAACCTGAAGGATGGGTGCCTAGGAGCCGGGCCCTTCTCCTCTGTCTCTCCCCCTCCTCGCTCTTGTCTTGCATCATTGCATATTTGGAGATGACCTCATCCAGGCGGCTCATGGCCAAGGTCCGATTTTCCCGAAGGCGTCGAGCCAGTGTGGGATCTGACAGTGCGGGGTCAATGCCTGTGTGAGAAAGCAGGGTCAGAGCGCTCAGCCCACTTAACCTAAAGGACCGCTAAAGGACCGCTAGGAGGCGTCCCAAGAGCTTCTTCCTACCTGGCCTGTAGTCATCTGTGAGATGGCAGCCAAAGTTGTAGATGAGGTCAAGGTGGCGCCTTTCCTGTAACCTGACACCCACATCCCGGAAGGCATCTTGAGCCATGAGCTGGAGTTGCTGTCGGGGAAGGCCGAGACTGTGCCGGTTCGCTGCCCTCTCCACAGCCCTCAGCACATCTCCATAGTCAGGAAAGGTATCAGGCCCTGGCTTGTTAATAAGGCGCTCAATGCGCCTGTTGACCTCAGGGTAGCGGGTGCCGCGGTAGGGGATCCGCTGCTCTATGACCCGGCCCGTCAGAGAAGAGCAGTCCTTCAATTCACACAGCCGCCCGAAGAGGCGGATCAGCTTCCGCTTCAAGCGGGCCTCCTGCAGGTACGTGGAGTCAGGGTCATCCAGTTCTGACAGATCCAGTTCCTTCTCCTGCAGCCGCCGTATCTCTGCTACGTACAGCGCCAGCAGCTGCTCCAAGCGCTGGACCTGCCTCCGGGAACCTCGGGTCCTTGAAGCCTCGGGGGCAGCGGCTTCAGCATTTGTAAGGTCCGAGGAGGGATCTGTGGGAGGGTTATCACCGGAGGGCTCACTGGGCGCTGAGGGTACAGGAGCCAAGTTCAGCTTCTTCTTACTTGAATGGGCTTTAAGAACAGTGCAGAGCTCGTTAATGTAGACATAGAGCTTAGCCGGCCGGTTCCGAGCCCGAGACAGAACCCGGGACAGAATGTTGCAGAACTCCGCTGAGGCCAGAAACAGAGACTGGGCACGCTGCTGCAGTTTGTAGAGGAACGGAACCACCTCAGGGTGGTCCGAAGTCTGCATCTTACACAGTTCAAGGAACTGGAGAGTTCACGGAAAGGGTGGGAGACAAGGGAGGCATAAAAACATGGAATTAGTGGGAAGGCCAGAACAAGAGAGCCAGTCCCCTTCCCCCTGGTTCTTCCCTAACAGGTCACAGTGGTTCACACCTTTAAACCAGCTGTCAGGAGGCAGAAGCAAGCTGAACTCTCTGAGTTCAAGGCCAGCCTCATCTAGACAATTCCAGGCAGCCGGGGCCACATAGTGAGACCCTGTCTCAAAAACAAAAGAGCCTTGCCCGAAGCTTACCTCTTCAAACAGCCTCTCATTCTCCAACTTGTAGCACTTCCTGCCACCTGAGTGACTGTTCCTTCCATCCCCGTGGGACTCAGAGGGACCAGAGGCTTCTGGCCTTGGCGAGACAGGATTGGAGGGCGGGCAGGAGGGCCCTGGCTGAGCAGCTGGTTCGTCCTCATCGTCATCATCCAGCACAATGATGCTGTCAGCGGCGGCCATGGGGGATCAAACCCCCCTAAGGGAGGAAGTGTTGGAAAGGTCAGAATTCTGGAAGGGGAAGGGGACCACAGGAAGAGCCCCTCCTGCAGGGCCCCACCCCATCAGATGCCCTGGGTCTCCGAATAGCTTAGTCCTGACCTAAATGTTTTCAATGCCTGCCTTTCAAGCAGTTCGGGGTGGGGGGGGGGGGCAAACCTCCCGATCATCTTAAATCCCCACCCTGGACTCCACCTCTCAGTCAATTTCCGGTCTCTCAGTTGCCTTTTCCCCTCCCTGTGTCAGCTGTGAAGTTTTTTGTTACTCCTAACCCCAGTACAAGGTCCAACACTGGCCTCTGAGTTTTCCTGACTCTTGTCTACAAAAACCAACACCCTGCTGGTGCTATCTCCGGCCCTCAAACACGACAACGCCCCCACTCCGAGTTTCCCCTTTTTTATCCTTTTCTCTTCTGTTTTTGTTTGTTTGTTTTTCAAGGCAGGGTTTCTCTGTAGCCCAGGCTGGCCTCGAACTCACAGAGATCTCCCTGCCTCTGCCTCCCGAGTGCTGGGCGTGAAGGCGTGCGCCACCACCGCCCGGCTTCTCCGAGTTTTTCCCTGACACCAACTCTGTGGCTCCGAGGTGAGTCCCAGTGCCCTGTGCCCTCCGGGTCATCTCTGTCCCACCTTCCACAGGGTTTCCTCTCACCGGGACCCGAGGCTGGAGATTTCCCCCTAAGTCCCTCCCTCTCACCGCGCCCTGGTCCCCCCACTCCCTCTGACTTGTAACCGACAGCGAGCCCACCACCCGGCACGGCTGATACCTGGGCTCGCAGCCCCAGGTGGGGCCAGTCTCCTGTCTCAGCTTCCCGCCAAGTACCCCCTCCCCCCCCAGTTCATCCCTAGGCCGCCTCACTCCCTTCAGGGCTAGCAAGGTACCACACGGCGGCCCCTCGGACTCAGCACCCAGGCCCCGCCGATCCCTCGCCCGCGCCACTCCCGCCCCGCCACCCCCGCTCCGCGCACGGCCCGGCCCCCACCTCTGAAACGGCCTCTCGAGGCTCCCCTCACCGCGGATCACAGAACCTCGCATGGTTCCCTCCGCCTTCCTTCCCCCCCCGCAACCCCCACCGTAGGCCCACTACGAACCGGAAGCCGTAGGGTTTCCGCCTGCCACACCTGAGGGCGGCCATGTCGCGGTACGGAACCCAGTCCTCTCAGTAACCGGAAGTGTCGCGTGCCCCGCCCACCTAGGACGCCGTTCCCAGTGCTCGGACGCTCAAGGGGGAGGGCCTTGGGGGGGGGCTCCTGGCAGCTGGGGGGCGCCATGTTGCCGTACGGCGCCGGCCTGGCCTGCACGGCCCTCCTCGGGGAAGGCGTGGAGTTCTTTGCACCTGGTGTTTCCCGAAGCCACTGGTCCAGTCAGAAGCTTCCTGCCTCAGACCTCCCCAACGCCGTCGGGTAGAGGGCGGGGAAGATCGAGCCCCCCCGCACCTAGAAGGGGAAGGAACCCCCGCATGGTACCTAAGAGCTGGGCTCTCTAGGGCTGTGCAGGGCTCCAGGGAACGAAATAAAAGTCTTTTCCTGTCCTGGGTTGGTGTAAGCCTGACACTCCCTACTTTGCTCTCTCTCGGGCCCCAAGTTCCACCGCCTGGTTGCCTGAGCTTGCCCTTCCCTTCCAGAGGCGACGCGCACCTCGAGGCTGTCCAGCCCCAGCCTCTACCTACGGTCAGGTGCATACACACATGCATACAAATGAGCACAGCATGCTGCACAAGTGAGGTATTGTTATTATTGCTGTCTGTCGGTGACTCGCTGCCCAAGCTGCACCACAGACGTGATGACCGAGCCAGCTGGTGGGAACTGTGGCCCTCTGTTTCTCCGAGGGTCATCCTGACCAGAAGGCCGTGTGTGCTTCATGGTGGGGTTTGCAAGGCATGAGGCGGGGCGCGGGATAACCTGGCGAGGGCTTGCAGAGAAACCGTGCAAACTGCCGCTTGGAGCGCTGGGAGATGAAAGGAGGCTCATAAAATCCCCTCGGGGCGTCTCCTCCTCCGGGAGACCTGCAGAGAAAAGGAGGTGGGGGTGGGGGAATGGGGACGACAGTGAGGTCCGCAGATGTGCCGATGAGGAAGCAGGATAAGTGAATACCCTTTGCGCCAAGATTGCACCTCCGCAGCCTTCTGCATTCCTCAGGTGGTGGACATCTTGCCAATTTGCAGGACCATGAAGCCCAGTGGCTCTCAGAGGAACCGAACCTCAAACTCGCTTTAAAGAAACCCACCTCGTTTCCTGTCCGGTCCTCTACTTATGGCATTTAAATTGGGAACCAGAAAAGGTCCTCAATGGTTAACGAGACTCTAAAGATAATGAAGGATTTAATTTCCATATCCTTGGGTTTCTCAAAATGGGTTTCCCTGAGTGGATGTCTGAAATGAAGGTTATCCATCTCTTCACAAATATTCATTTTGTTTTATGTATGTGTGTGCTGGTGTAAGTCTCTGTGCACGACGTGAGTGCAGGTAGGTGCCTGAGGAGGCGAAAAGAGCGACCCAGCCTTTAAGAGCACCTGTTGCTCTTGCAGGTTCGATTCCCAGGCCCTACATAGTGACTCACAGCCATCTGTAACCCAGTTCCAGGGAATCCAATAGGCATGCTCATGATGAACATACATACAGGCAGGCAAAGCGTCCATACACATAAAATAAAATAAATACACTTTTTAAAATTAATAGTTATAGAAGGTGACAGCAAGTCCAAGGCTGAGGGAACATGGAAGAACGGAGTGGAAAGAATGTAAGAGCTGGAAGATGGAGAAGAGTGCTGACTTAGAAAAAAGCTTCCATGGGAGTGAGAGGGGGGTGAATAATGGAGGTGAAAATGACCAGACTGTATTATATAATGATTAAAAATAAGCGTAAGTTTTACACTGTTTGATCACTTCTGTTCTTGCAATAATTGCAACTACTCAGAAGAACTTACGTGTGGGGCTGTTTTGCCTGTGTGTGTGTATACACACCCTTGTGCCCACGAAGACCCTAAGAGGGCCACTGACCCTTGGGACTGGAGTTGTGAGCGCCATGCTGGTTCTAAGTAGCACGTTATAAGGAGGAGGGGGAGGGAAGCTCCGAGCTGGAACAGGTCTGGGAGTTTAGGGAAGAGGTAAGAGGGGACAGGATGCTAGCATTGGGGCTTTGAAATATATAACAGGTACTTATGAATAGGGACTGTAGGAACCTGGAGGCTAGCATGGGCTCTGATATGCTGAGAGGCAGCACAGACACATGTCACTGGACAGTCGTATGTCCCTTCCTCCAGAGGCAAGGGAAATACGTCCTTTTTGCAGACAGGAACCTGTTTCACAAGTTCCTGAGGAATTCTGGCTTTTTATCTAACTGCCAAAGCCCTTCTATATATAGTCCACTTTGAGGTGGGCCAAGATTGTCGCTTCTGGACATATGCACTGCCTGAGACCCTACATGTCACTGTGTCACTCCTTGGAGAAGCCTAAGTCAGAACGCCACAGAGACGCTTGCACATCCATGTTGATTGCTGTAGTGCTCTAAATAGCCAAAAGAATGGAGGCAGCCCACGTGTCCATCAACAGACAGAGGAAACGTGGTACATCTGTACGGTGGGATCTTCCGGCGGGAAGAAAACTTAAATCATGATATTTGTGGGAAAACAAGGGAAATGGAAATCACTCTTAAGCAAAATAAGCTACATTCAAAAGGATAAATTATTCCTCATATTCTCTCATATGTGGAATCTGGATTTAAATTTATATAGCATATGTATACAAAGTTGTGTGTGTGTGTGTGTGTGTGTGTGTGTGTGTGTGTGAACTCATATGTGCAGAACATGAAATTAGAAAGAGGAAGAAGCAGTCTAGGGGTGGCTCAAGAGACAGAAATGGGATCTAGGGACATGAAGCAGCACGAGACGCTGGGGGGACCAGAGTGGGAGGCAGAGTGGCCATGGAGGAGCCAGGTACCCAATGACATACACGGTAACTCACAATGACACAACCCGTCACTTGTACGCTGACTAAAAAGTTAGTGTTTTTTCATTTATAGAGAGGGGAATCCTGGAGGAGTTGGAGGGGATGTCTGGGGAATGAGTATGATCAACATACATTGTATTTGTATATGCAGTTAAAATTGTGTGTGTGTGTGTGTGTGTGTATTGCAGAGGACCTGAGTCTGGTTCCCAGTTCCCACTTACAGCCTCCTTTAACTCCAGCCCCAGAGGATCCAACACCTTCTAGCCTTCTAGCCTCTGTGGACACCTGCACTCATGTGTCCATACCCACGAACAGACAGACAGACAGACAGACAGACAGACACACACACACACACACACACACACACACACACGCATAAACAAAAATAATCTTAGAGTGATGACCTAAGCTACCCCTCCCACCCCAGTCTCTCTGGAGTCTCCTTTCTCACCTCAAGAGCAAGGACAGAATCTCTATAGGGAGATGCTCAGAGTTCCAGAGCCTCTTCCTCCTCGGGTGTCTTCAGGAGCCAGTCCCGAAATGTAGCCCATGGAAGGGGCCACAGCAGTTTATAAGCAGCCTCCAGCATGAGCAGTGTCAGGAAGAGGACCAAGAAGGTGAGGAAGATCTTGTCCAAAGCGCGCCGCAGGGGCCCCCGAGGAGGAGTGGGACCCTGGGCGAATGCTAGGAACACGTCCCCCTCCTCCACACTGCCCCCTTCCTCTGCCATCCTCACCCACAGCGGGACAGCTGGCTGGCTCAGTGTGGGCTGGAAGGCCTAGCTCAGCACTGCCGGGATTAAAGGGTGTGGCTGTGATGAACCTGCACCTGCGGGTGTGACCCTAATTCCAGGACCCAGTTAGAAAGGAGAGAAAGGCTTTTGAGTTTGGGGGCAATTTTTTATTTCTTTATAAGTTCTACTGTTTGGGCTTGCTCTCTCATTCTACCTTTACCTGGGTTCCAGGGCACTAAAAGCACCTTTCCCTGCTGAGCTGTCTCTCTGCCCCAGGACAATTATTTAATCACCTAGCCTGATGTGAAAGGTCACACTGTATGAGCACTAAGTCCTGTCCAGCTTTACCATATGTAACTCTGCCTTGGAAACAGAAGACTCATTACAGACACTTAAACTGGAATGGTCAGGCATCCTGGTCCTAGATCCAAGCACCAGTCTAGGGCCTGAAGAGAAGGAGCAAGGAACTGTAACAACAGGCCGGGTGGGCCTGGTCTCTGCGGTGAAGGAGAAGGGAAGGGTGTCTCTAATCCAAGCAGGCTGGTTTCCTCCTGCTGGGTTTCTGTGGGCGGCCCTCAGATCAGGAGACTAAAACCTAACCAGGCTGAGTGGTGCATGCCTGGAATCCCAGCCTGCAGGATGCTTCGGCAGGGGAGCAGGATTGCTAAGAGTCTAAGGTGAGTCTGTTTACACAGGTGAGACCTTGTCTCGAAACAAAATAAAACAACAAACCACCCAAGTAATTAAATGAAAATAAAATTTAAAAATCCTAAAAGCAAACAAACAAACGAACCAATTGACTTCTGGCCCTGTGGTGTCAAGGGGGCAATTTTAATTGGACTGAATACACTGAAGATGTTTGTAAGAAGAGCTGTGATTGGTCGGATGGTGAGTGTTGACTGCCGGGCCACCAAAGGAGGGAAGTTTGTGTTGGATGCTAAACAGATACTTGTGACGCTTGTCCTTGGGGCACCTGAGTTCAGCTGGTGAGGTGACACACAGGGAGCCCTCTGGCATCAGGAAGATGGCCACCAGAGACACCAAGCATCAGAGGGCTCACATTTTTAGTTTCATGCCCAATTCTGAGGAAGCAGGGTAGGTTTGAGGTAAGATAAAGGGGAGAGTTATAGGGACATGGGACAAGAAAGTTGCCCAGGTGGGCGGTGGTGGCGCACACCTTTTTTTTTTTTTTTAATTCGGAATGCCGTTTATTGAAGGAGGGAGGAGGTCTTAAATACAGGCTTACAGCACAATGGGAGAACCCCGGAGGGCAGAAGTTCCGGATGTTTTACAATCTTGTATCTAAGCTGTTAACGCCCATTATGCAGGATACACAGTCAAGGAACTTCCCTTAAGCATTCAGGAGGGTGGAACCCGGCAGGGAATG